CTGATGCTTAGCAACCTTTGACGAAATTCGGTAAGTTTGAGCTGATTAGCAGCGCGTGGCACGCGTAGATGAGGGCTACGGCGTGATCAGTGCCAATTCGTCTACGCCATTCTTCGGCCATCACTTTAACTTATAAATGCAAAACGATGGTGTGGAAGGTAACACAATGGACGCCGCTCAAGTATACCTCACACCATTCGCATTAGCGTCCCAATCGCGGTCACATCCCTAGGGTGAGAGAAATGGTTCTCAGTATTTAATGAGTTCAATATTCCCGATATCAACCGGCAAGACAAGGAGCTTGTGGCTCAACGGTTAGTGTTGAACTTCTGATCAAAAAAGTCGTGGAGTCGAGCGTCGGGTGGTACACAACTTAGGGTTTGATATGACTGGCTGACGACAGCTAATCAGCCAGAAATATGCATTTCCGTTTCCAGTCAATGAATTATGAAACTATTTAAGCATATAACCCCGTTGTTTGTCGGTCATTGACCCACAATAACATCACGTAAATTGGTCTGCTTGCCGAGCTCACACCAACAGTTCACATTCCCATCCGCGGTAGCACGGCTTCGCTGTACATATAGTCTCTTTATACTACTATATTGTTCAGTAGTAGATAAACAAATGGTTAGATGCTTGCGGTAATAAACAGATTATGAAGGCACATCTTAAGTTTAGCATAATGAAATTGTCGGTATGCAACGCATGCAGAAGTTCATTCTTCAAGGACTGTTGCATTCACGCGTTTAAACATTTTCAAATGGTTTGTGGGCGCAGTCAACTGCGAGAAACAAGATATCCAATGTCGATTTCAAAGGACAGGGCAGATTGTCAAACTAGGTTGGGTTCTGAAAAGCAGTCTACCTTCACTACTGAAAACACCGGCACCACCAGAAAGGCAGTCCGCCTTGCGATCGCACCTTCGCATCACAAATCGGGCTGGTTAGTCACATTTGCGAATCCATCGCATCGTGACCGACGAACCAGTGTCACGAACTCTAGCATGCAGCTCTCACTCCTACCTCACTTGCCCACAGTATCTGGGGAGACTAGGCCATCTCATTGGCCTATTTCGGCCATGCGTGCATGCGTGAAGGTTTACCAATTATACCACGTGGTCCATAACTATCAAAACATCATTCCAACTCGCCTTTCAATAAACCTGTAGGAATACATGGATGTTACATAAGACATGTGGAGAGCAAATTAATTTTCGTTTCAAACGAACCAAACAATCTGTTACTTGAACTTACAACCGACGGATGGACTGACACTAGATAACATTTTATCCTCTAGAAGTTTCAATTATCTGAAAGTAGGATACTGACAACAAACAGCGACATGGATGAAGCAATATGAAAGGACTGTCGGACGGAAGGATAGTATATTTAGGCTAGCATCTATGTCGGAAGTAAGGTATAACACATTAGGCTTCCCTAACCACAGACTTGATGACAGTCGGGTTGTACATATTTATATTGACAGTGTACAGGTAGGGGAGTCAGGAAGCAAATTTGTTAAAGTAGGAATTGAGTCCAGTTAGACGGACATGAACTCCAACGACTGGTGAATTGATTTACCCTTCGCCTATAAAGTCTTGCGACACCGATTCATTAACAGAAAGTTTATGCG